ACGGAACAATCGGGCACAAAAAGTAATGCAACAAACCAAATGCCGATGCCACTCATAATGTCGCGGCTCAAGTCGCATGTTCGACAAAGCATGCTGTGACAAGACACAAGTAACAAGTAGTTCAGAATGACCTATATTTCAGCGCACGCGCTAAAGCATTTGCGGATCCTGTTTCGACAGCCGTGTTAAGTCGCAACGAGTGTTTTTCTAGCAAGCGTCGGACGACGTTACCTCGCAGCCGCCGCCGACCCTCCACCGACAGACCGGTAGACAGGTCCACAACGCAACGGTGAGACAGACGGACATGAGGTAGCATGAGGTTACGTGACGTGACGTGACGTGACGGGAACACAGGCAACACGAGGACGTCCGACAGCGAGGCGGTATCGAGGGTATTACTACCTCTCTTGTCGTCGACCGGTCATCGATGCCGATTTACGCTAACCAGTTACGCGGCCACAACCGTCCTTCGGACGGTACGACGGTATGAATGCTGCGGTTATGAGGGTCGACAACAGGAGGCATGGCTACCTCGGGCAATCAACTTCGCAGACACACATCTGGCGCCAGGATCACCGTGCTGCCGACCGAACCACTTGTGACACCACTGTCACGGAAACCGGTTCCATAAAGACAGCGTAGAAAACATACAGACGCCCGCAGCGCCGTTTTATACCGGGCTGCTTCGGAATAAAAAACCAGTTTAACAATATAACGTCGAAACCGGGTATGTTTTATTGCCGCAACCTGCTTGCAACCATAGCCAGAGTATGGAAATACGTTAAGGGCGCTAGACACAGTATGACGGCGTAACCGACGAAGTTCGAAGAACGTTCAGATAATCAAATCCTAGAAAACTGGGCCTCTTTTGTTTGGCTATTATGAATCGCCACCACAACGGCGGGTCAACACCTTTATTGCCGGTAGCCTTACAGTAAGTAGACTGGTCTTTCAACACAGGTGATATAACACTTCACTTTTAACTTTACAACGGTCATACTTTACTGTACAACGTGACATAAACTAAATGACAACTTTTTATAAGTCCAATCGGGCATATATGGAACTAACTTGGCTCGTTCACTTGTTGGTTTCGTTTCAGCCGTGGGGCTGTCGTTAAAGCGGCTGGGGGCTGTCGTTAAAGCGTTTTTCTCCTAATTGCATGATGCTAGATATTATGTGGCCATTGACTTGCTCTGCCACGGTTTCCAGATTCACGTGATCCATCAGTACCGCACGCATGAGGACTGAGGGCTGCGTGGAAAACCTCGAGGCGACCGAATGGCCAAATGGCTATAATGAACATCGTAACTTATCAGGCGCGTCTTTATGAAAATTGCATTGCCCATAAAAGTACGGTTAGCATATTAAAACTTTTTCTCGCTCTCAGCAATCGAAATTAAAACTTTCACTGAAGATTATTTGCCCATTTCTGCAAAGCACAGCGAAATGAACAGACAGGGGTGAACGCTTTTGGTTTCAACGCTGATCACTTTCGTAGCAATACGTAATACGTATCTAATTGGCAATAATGATGAAAATGCTGCCGACATGGCAGGAATCGAAAACTTCAGGAGAACACCATCAGACAAGTAAGCCTGCTGCCGTTTCATGGGTGGCAAATTTCTCTTAATATCTGCTAA